AGCTTCGCAAACAGTTAGACGAGCTCCTTGAGAAAGGTTGGATCAGGCCCAGTTCGTCTCCTTTTGGAGCACCCGTTTTGTTTGTCCCCAAGAAGGAAGGAGAGCTGAGAATGTGTATAGACTATAGGGGATTAAATGCGATCACCGTAAAGAATGCTGAGCCGCTGCCCAGAATAGACGATCTTTTAGATCGGGTGCAGGATTGCAAGTATTTCTCTAAGATAGACTTAAAATCCAGATATCATCAGATAGAGGTCCATCCTGATGACCAGTACAAGACTGCGTTCCGGACGAGATACGGGCATTATGAGTTCATAGTGATGCCCTTTGGACTAACCAACGCGCCAGCTACTTTTCAGCGTTGTATGAATGACCTGTTTAGACCATGGTTAGATAAATTTGTAGTAGTCTACTAAGATGATATCCTAGTCTTTAGTAAGACCCTCCAGGAGCACCAGGGTCATTTGAGGCAGGTCTTGGAGAAGCTTAGAGAGGCTAACTTCAAGATCAACGCGAAGAAGTGTGAGTGGGCCAAGGCGCAAGTCTTATACTTGGGCCACGTGTTGGACGGAGATGGCATTAAGCCAGAGGACGGCAAGATCGCGGCAATCAGAGATTGGCCGACGCCCCGCACATTGACAGAGTTGCGGTCGTTCCTAGGCTTAGCTAACTACTATAGGAAGTTCGTAAGGAACTTCTCTACTATCGCCGCTCCCTTGCGCAGGTTGTTGAAGAAAGAGGCAATCTGGCAATGGAACAAAGACTGTACGTCTGCGCTCAAGAAGCTAAAGCGCGCGTTAATAAAATATCCTGTCCTCAAAGTTGCAGATCCGTCTTTGCCATTTGTCGTCACCACGGACGCGAGTCAGTATAGGATAGACGCCGTGTTGCAGCAAGACGACGACAATGGCTATAGACCCGTAGAGTTCATGTCAGCGAGGATGCCCTGTGAGAAGGTCGCTACCTCCACGTACGAGAGAGAACTCAACGCTCTCAGGCAGGCTTTAGACCATTGGAAGCACTATCTGCTTGGGAGGCACTTCAAAGTGTATTCTGACCATGAGACACTTCGTTGGCTAAAGACCCAGGCCAAGATGACACCTAAGTTGACTATGTGGGCCGCAGAGATAGACCAATTCGACTTTGAGCTCAAGCCAGTGAAGGGCAAGTACAATGTAGTGGCGGATGCTCTAAGTAGGAGATCAGACTACTTTGGAGCCGTAGTACATTATCTGGATATAGGGAGAGACCTGCAGGAGAAAGTGAAACAAGCGTATACGCAGGACCCTATCTATAACGACCTCCTAAAGAGAGTTAGAGAGACCCCAGAGACCGAACCAGATTACCGCACTACAGACCGGTTGTTGTTCGAGAAGACTAATGTGTTTGACCGCCTGTGCGTTCCCAACAGCCAAGAGATCCGCAGTTTGGTTTTAGGGGAATGCCACGATACTGAAGGGCATTTCGGTTGGCAAAAGACATTAGCCAACCTGGTGCGTGCGTATACCTGGCCAGGGATGAAGAATGACTGCATAGAGTATGTCCRCAGTTGTAAAGTGTGCCAGAGAAATAAGTCTACTACACGCGCGCCCTTAGGTCTTCTCAGGCCCTTGCCTATTCCGGATCAGCCGGGAGACTCAGTGTCTATAGACTTCATGGCACCCAAGTCAAGAGTGGACATGGTAAGAGCCAAGTCATGGTCATAGTCGACAGTTTTAGTAAGTATGCAGTTTTTGTTCCCTTGCCTGCAGAGGCACGTACAGATTTAGTAATACAGAAGTTTTTTGACTTTTGGGTTAGTGAGAATGGAATCCCATTGTCAATTGTTAGTGATAGAGATAGTCGCTTCACCWRYCARARCTGGCAAGAACTCATGAGAGTTTACGGATCTAAGTTGTTAATGTCATCTGGCCGTCACCCAGAGACTAACGGTCAGACAGAACAGATGAACAAGATCCTACAGCAAGTTCTGCGCATGTA